ACCTAGCAAGAGAACATGGACACAGAACTTGGCTGGAGATTGTGGCTAGAGATCCTGGCAAGGCTGCTGATCAACTGAACGCTGTCTCCGTGTCATTCCTTCATCGCTGACTCCGTCCACACCTTTGGGGACCCCTGGACCTGCTGGGGTCGGACCCCAGCATGTTCAGTTAGGAAAACTGAAATCAATGGAGATATACAGTATATTTAAAGCAGCGAGGGAAATAATGCAAGGGATTTGTTGTAATAAAGTGTTGAAAAACAAGTAGGAGATAGGGATGAAAGGCAGAACTGGAGTCCATGAGCCGCACTCACTGTTGACTCATCGCTGCCTCTAAACAGAAGCCATCCCATTGCCATGGCTGGTCATACTGTTAATGTAAAAACCACTGAAACCTGTAAAGAATTTTTGTGAGTTTATTTGAGCCAAACCATTGACATATGCCAGGAAGCAGAACCTCAGAGAACTGAGATAATGCTTCAGAGAATGGCTGGTTACATCTGTATTTATACATTGCAATCAAAGGAAAGGGACATAGGTGGGTTACATGAAATCCATTGGTGATAGACTAGAGAGGCAGGAGAAAGCAAAGGGGGGTGGAGGGCAGGGAACCCCTGGGATTGGATACTTAGGTGGGTGCAGGAACAATTAACATGATAACGAAGGAATTTGTGGTATCTGTCCTGGCTCCCAGTACCTTAGGTTGTGCCCCAAGGGGTCCAGAAAAAGGGAAGTTACAAGTTACCCAGACATTTCAAAGGGTATGTTATCATAGATGCAAAAAGACAGATAGGCTCAGTTAAGGTAAAGGTTGGCTTTGTCAGTGAAGATACCGGCCTAGGAGATGACTACCCATCATAACTGCTTTTAGTTAAAGTTTAATTTCAGACCATCCTTTGTGGTTACTTTAGGTCTCTTGAATTTGCAAGATGGCCATGCAGGCCTTCCCTGAGCTTGTCAGGTTAGCATGTGGTCCCTTTATTCCACATGGGGACATAGACCTGTCAGGCACACAAGGCAATGTCTTGCATCTGCCAGAATGGGGTATGGGCTCATTGCCCTCCCCCCGCTCCAAAGCCAGGTACCCCAAAGGACATCACCTTCAGAGAACAAGTGAACTGGGGAGAAATCTGTCAAAAGCAGACAGAGTTGATGTTCTGACTGCAAATTATACCTGGAGCTGGACAGGAAATAATAAAAAGCTTCATTCACTTATCAGTAGTTTACAGTATTAGCCAAGCAGAATGGGTTCATTCTTGTTATCCAGACCCAGAGGGTTCACCTTTAAAGAGAAAAGCCCTTCTTCATTGTGAATTAAAATTGAGCCCAAACCTCTTACAGTCCTCTACACATGTTCACTTTCCACCTTTGCCCATGTAGTGTTCTCCACTTAAATGCTCATCTCTCTTCCCATGTTCTCCAGGTTCCCATCCCAAATTATGGAAGCATTGGGCACCCCAAAGGTCGCCACCTCCGTAGCGCTTTCCCAGGTGCAGGCAGCTCAGAGGGATTTCTCTCCTCTGTATTCCCTGAGCATTTAGTCTTTACCTCAGCTCTAACCCATCATATTCCACCTTGAATTATGGTAATCACAGTGTACATCTGGTATCCCATGAGGTTAAGGTTCTGGAAGACAATAGCTGGACCTTGTCCACCTTTGCATCACTCAGCACCCAGAAAAGAAGAATCGATGCTCAATTGATGTCTGATGCATTGAATTGAAGAGAATTGAATTGGAACACTTGGGGTTTATTTTATAATTCTGTAAATTCCTCAGCTCCAGCTACTATTATTTGTTGAAAACTGGGAGGTTTCTGTGCACTTATAGCCATGAACTGGAAGACCATCTGAGAAGTGAACTTAAGACTTAGGAAGGACAGTGCTCAGAGGTGCTTTGGTTCCACCATTTTCACAGCTACTCACCTTTCAGTTTGCCTTCACAAACTCCTGCCAGTATTGAACAGTTGCTTTGGCAAGTTGAAGAATTGTTATTGTGTCCCTACTGTTCTATCTTCTTTCCACTCCTCACCCCTTAAAAGGGAGCCCGAGGAGGCAGTTATGGAACAACAATGATGATAATAATAATAATAATTAATAATAATAATGGCCAATGCTTCCATGGAATTGTATTCAAACCAGGCACAGTTCTGAGTGCTTAACTCATGAATCCTCTCTATGGGGTAGGCACTATTGATATCCCATTATAGCTCAAGATACCAAGTCACACAGCTAGCAGGGAGTAGAGCCAGGACTCTGACCCTGACGTTAGAGATGGGGTTCGAATCTCAGCTTGTTACTTACTAATTTGAGACTCTCCACAAGTTACTTAATGCTGAGCCTTTCCTCACTTGTAAAATGGAGATAATAAGTTTCCTCTTTGAGATATGTAGAGATTAAATGAGATAACATATCTGAAAGCCCTGGTGTCTAGTAGGTGACTAAAAATAGTTATTTTAGAAAGGGCAAAATAGCACATTAGTAATATTAACTTTGTAGCAATTAAGGCAGGGCCAAGGAAAATGTGTTTTCATGTTAGAAGAATGTCTCCCAAGTTCATTCTTTTATGTCATGTTGTGAAGGTTGTTTGATTCCAATGTGGAAAAATTCTCTATCGAGAGATCATAAGACAAAACCACATTTGACATGTAACACAGAGACTGAGTGTTCTTCCCATCAAATGAGGCCCTTCCAGCATATGGTATTTTTGCGAATCAGATTATTGCACATTGGGGTATCATAAAAGATAGAACAGGCTGACACAAATTGGAAAAGAAAATAGATCACACTGAAGCCATCCCAAATGGGCTCATGTATTTTAATCATTCTGTATTAGCTTGCTACATCTTCAGATATTTTATTTTCAAATCAAGTCACAGCTGTGTGTACTTTAGGCTGTGGCCATCATAAACAAATATGAAGAGAAGCAGAGTTAAAACAGATGAGTACCAATGGTTATCCATTAGTCTGATATAACTGAACACAAATGACCATTAAGAGACTTGCAAAAAAAAATCTGAGAAATAGAACTTCAAGTATGAGTTTCTGCATAACTGAACGACAGCTTTGCTGGTGCCTGTTGTCTAGTTTGGTCAAGGTTATAATGTTTTAGGGAAGCCAGTCCTCCCCCTCCCAAGTGACTCCATTGATAAGTAAAAATAGTAGAAGATTCCAGAATACAGAGAGCCAGATTTCTATGAAGTATATTCAAAGATTGTAAAGTAAGTACCCTCCTCTTCTACAGTAGAGTTGGAGATGCATTACCATGGAAGCTCACCCCTCACCACCACCACCATTGACTGGTTTCAGTTTTTTGGCAGGGAAAGGATTACCATCTTTACTGTCTCCTCTCATCCCTACCCCCTCCTTTTTCAATTCCTCATCTCTCTCTAAACACCTGGAGTTCTCCCATGCTTGGTTCTAAAAACCAGTTTAGTGTCTTAAATATCAATCAATTCCATAAATGACAAATTTGGTAAAATGCATTTACCAAACATAAGGGATGCCATATCTAATCACTTGGTACTAGGGCAACTGGAGAGACCACGTTTGAGAAGTACACCCAGAGGACGACTGCTCACACTCAGACGTCATGCTGTGAAGTGGTGTCCACAGTGGAGACAGTGTGGAGCTGTACATTCTTTAACACTCAGCTCACTGGCTGCCTCATTTTCTGATTATAACAACTGTTTGCTTAGATCAGAAAAATCTGAGCTAGTAATTCCACTGAGACACAGGTCAAGAGGTAGAAGCCAGCTGGGTTGGAGGGAGAGCCAAGCCTTGAGGAGCCTTCATCTTGGTCACTGGAACTGGGGGATCTGTCCAGGTTAACTGCGGAGTTTTTCCAGAACAGCACGAACTTCCTCTGGGTGATAGTTCCAAGGGCCAGGCTTACCCTGCAGGAGAAATAGATTAGCATTCCCAGATTTCTGACTTGCAGGAGATCTGGGCTGATGACATCCATGTGGGAGTCATCAGGATGGTGTTGTCAGTGGCAGATGCAACCTTGAGGTGTGTGAGATCATGCAGGGAGTGTGTGTGGAGCGGCCCCACCGTTTAGGACAGGACAGAAGTAGGAGGAAAACCAGAGTGGGATAAAGTGAATAGTTTCAAAAGGAGAAATGGGTCTATACAAACATACTTTTCTTCCATAATCATACCTTCAGACTGGCCTTATCTTCTCCACTCCCCATATCAAGTTCTATTCATTCTACATCAGAAACACCGCTGCCTCTCCAATCCCAACGCTTAATTCAGCCCTCTTCCTCTTCTACTCGGGCATCTGTCTCACCTCCTGACTATGCCCTGCTCTCTCTGCACTCCATTCTTCACCCAATAGCCAGTGATCTTTCTAAAGTAAGGATCTGATCATGTCTCTCCCCTGCTCAAAACTTCTCAATGGCTCTCCTTTGCCCTAAAATGAAGGCCAAACTCCTTGGTCCAGAATGGGACCCCTGTAACCTAAGTGCCCTCAGTTCTCCATTCACACCCTGCCCTAGCACGCCTCAGTGCCTTTGCCCACCCACTTCTCAATATCTGCAATGACTTTCACTCACCATGCTCACATGGCTGGCTCCTTATCCCTTAGCCAAGCAATTGTAACCTCCTTGGAAAAACTTGCCCTTTCCCAGGGGTTGGAAAACTGAGAGCTAAATCTGTCCTGATGCCTCCATACCCCTTCGTTTACATTTTGTCTGTGCCATTTTTGTGTTACACCAGGGAACTGAATTGTGGAGACAGAGACTGTCTCCTGCCCTACAGCAAAGGTTTGCTGACTCCTGCCCTGGAGTCTCACAGCCCTTGGGATACTGTGACACTCTATTTGGATCGTCCTTATCCCCTAGACCAGTGGTCGGCAAACTGCGGCTCTTGAGCCACATGCGGCTCTTTGGCCCCTTGAGTGTGGCTCTTCCTAAACCTTAGGAGTACCCTAATTAAGTTAATAACAATGTACCTACCTATATAGTTCAAGTTTAAAAAATTTGGCTCTCAAAAGAAATTTCAATCGTTGTACTGTTGATAATTGGCTCTGTTCACTAATGAGTTTGCCGACCACTGCCCTAGACTGTGGCGCAAGGAAGGTTTGGGCCATTTTAAATTCATTTTTGTGTGTGTGTGTGTGTTCTCAGTGTTTGCACAGGGCCTAAACTCAGGCTCTGACCCTCAGCATCCTAGAGATTCATCCACAAGTCGTTTCTTATTTCAATTGCATACATAGGCTAGCTCGCTCTGTGGGCAGAGGAGTAGCCACATGGCTGGGCTTCCTGTGCTCTCCAAGGCTGCAAATGCCTTCAGCAGCTACCAAACTTGGTTTCCGACCTCTCAGAGGAGTCCAGCAGGGCCCAGGGGTCAGAGGCTGTGCTTATGTCCCTCCCTGGTCAGACTGGAAACCTTGAGAGGAACACAGTCCTTCCACAAAGGAAGCCTGGACTCAATCCCTGTCTTGAATCTCTGCTTCAGCATTTCCAGCTCTGAACTTCAGGGTTTGTGTTCTTCCCACTTCCTTCAGCCCCTCCAGGTTCAGGCCTGCCTCAGAGATTGGCTGCTTCAGACCCTCCCACTTTATCTCTCAGCTTTAAACTAAACCAGGCTGGGCCCGTCTTCTGGGTTCAGAAGGCTGCCTGGAGGCTCCAGTTCCAGTCTAAATGCTAGGGACTTCCCTGTGCATAATTTTGTCCCTTGAGACATGGGAGCCAACATCCCCATTTTGCAGAAGAAGACAGTGAAGCTCCAAGAAAAGAAAGGATTTGCCCTTGGTTACATGGCTGGTAAATGGCTGGGCAGCTATCTGAATCCAGGTCTGCCTGATGTGAAGCCTCTTTTTGCCCTTTGCCCTCCCTGGGCCCCTGCCCTGGGGTGGGGGTGGGAGTGGTCACCACCTTGTAGAGGATCCTGCCCTCCTGGAGCACGTAGAGCCTGTCGGGCAGCGCCGCGTAGAGCTGGCTGCTCTGGTTCGTCATTGTGTCCACCACCACAGGGCACCGGGGGCTCCTGTCCAGCAGCAGGTGGGCTGCCTGGAGGCGGTCCTGGAGGTTCCGGTGATTCTTGATGACCACGTTGTTCTTAAAAGCCCAGCCATCTACAAGAGAAAGGCCAAGCAGTGGACCCCCTGGGCATGGTATACACTTCCTTTAGACTAAATAGCCCCCACTTTTAACTGGGGGGTCCCAGATTGAGGACCCTTGGCTATGACTTGGCCCAGTTTCCTATTATGGGTAAATTCATAAGATCAATAGGGAGTTAGTGGTTGATCCAGAACTAAAGCCCATGGCTCCTGACACCCAGATCTCGGCTCTTCAATGTGTGACAATCCAACAGACCAGTGCTTCTCACACTCTAATGTGATAATGAATCACTCAGGCATCTCGTTAAAGGAGGATTCTGATTCAGTCTGTCTAGGGTGGCCCTGAGCCTAGCTAGCTCGCAGGATGCCAAGGCTGCCGGTGCCTGGACCACACTTAGCCCAGGATCTAGAGCAGTATTTCCGTAAGTGTGAGCTGTCCAGGCCAGCAGCATCTGCATCTCCTGGGAGTTTGTTAGCCATGCAGATTCTTGGGCCTCAACATAGACTGACCAAGAATGGGTCAACAATCAGTTTTAACAGCCTTCCAGATGACTCTAACACATGCCAGAATTTGAGAACTACTGCTCTAGAGTCTAGACAATTTTCCTCTTCTAATTATTCTCCACCAGAGTTCTTTCCAAAAACCGCAAATCTGACTATGTCACTCTCCTGCTTAGATCTTTCAGTGGCTCCCTATCACCTGCAGGATAAGCCCCAAGCTCCTCAGGGTGGTCTACCAGGTCCTTAGTGACCTGGCCCATCTTTCCGGTCTTCTTCCAGCTTTTTGCTCCAGCCAGTGTACTAGTTGGGGATCCTCGACCCACTCACCCCCAAGCTGTCTCTCACTTCTGCCTTTTTCATCACAGCTCCTGCCTTTAGCTCAGGGGTGGGCAAACTTTTTGACTCGAGGGCCACAATGGGTTCTTAAACTGGACTGGAGGGCCGGAACAAAAGCATGGCTGGCGTGGTG